TTATATGTAAAAATTATGCACGCTATTGTCAGTGGCATTATACGGTTACCTTGTCCTATCCAAATTCAATTCATTATATATCGACGAATCCCCCTCTCCCGTGAGAGATAACAACATATTGAAAAAGGTCACCGATAAAAATAACGATATATTTAGTCGATATATATGCGACTGTGAAACATGTGGCAGTTTAAAGGTACTAGATCCACTGGAAAATATAATGAAGTAAAAAATGGACGTTAATTCACGGGAAACAATGGTAACGTATTAAATGCGTCATCTTAACATTGGATAATTGAGACGATCGTTATATAATAAAAGTCTATATTTATTTATTTATACGACCTTAAAGACTGCTAGACTTCTATTTTAATTTTTCTTTCTGTGTGTAAAAGTTCACGACCTTAATTACAATCTCATTCGTCTCAGTTTAAAAATTAGCTTGATTACAGACAACCACTATCTTTGCGTCCGTTAAAACACAATCAAATTAATTTGATATTATCATATTTATGGATTGGCCATTACGCTATAGCGAAGAAAATCATCTGCACATAGAAAAATTTGAAAAAAAAAATCTACAGGGAAAAATACAAAAAAACATACTAGAAAGAGAAAAGCAAAAAACAAACAAAAATACAGTAACACCATCGTATAACGGCATCTTCCGAATCGCTTTGTTACGTTACGTCACCACATAATTTCGTAAACTCAAATCTACACTGGCTCCTCTCATAAGAATGAAATAAACGAAATATAAATACGAGTATTTGCAATAACACTTACCTAGTGTCAAAAATGGCATTGCAATATTGAGATGGATGAAGGGCACGCCACAGAAACTTAGCAACCCTATAGTCGAAATCACAGCTAACAGTGCCGAGATCACGCCGAGAGAACCAAGTACTGGTTTACTGGTCACCCAATCAGCCATCATCAGAGACAGAACAGAGAATGCTGTAAGGACAACGAAGGTTAATACCATCATCGGCATCATCTGTAGGGTGATGTTCTTCAAATCGTTGGGCAGGGTCCGTGATACGGTCAGCGTGACTGTGATTTTCATTGATTTAAAATTAAGCGCCATGTCCTTGATCTTTTCTTCAAATTCTATGCTCGCCTCATCAAGGTCATTTGGCGAATGTTTTAATGGATAGAACAACACAATAGCTCTCGCCGACTTCACAATACTCGTATCGTCATAGAATTGCACGCCACCGAGGCTACCGCCGATAAAATATGCTATATCGCCCGCCATTACTGGGTACGATATGTTGATAAAATTCACATTTTGCGTTGTATAGTTGTAAATATTTAATACTGGGTTTGGATCAACACACTGTGTCTTCCACTTGGCACATAACTGTCTGTATGAGTATACGTTTCTCCCAATCCTTGCTTTCGTGTCTGTCACATTGTCGTGAAAGCTGAAAATTTCACGTAGTGAGTCAACCGCGAGTACGTTTTCACTTTCGTTCTTAGTGTAAATTATAACGCTGGCGTATCTCCCAACATGGGTTTGACGATTGGTGAGAAATTCACCAGAGTAATTCGCCGGAAAAAAACTCTCCAATTCATCTCTGTGCTTCTTGGCCGGACCGTTCGTGGGCGTGAATAGATATTCTATGTCATTGTTACGCGTGAAATAAAACCCGCCAAGGGCGAGAGAAAATGTAAGCAGAATGGGGAAGATAATGAATGGAATAGGGTAGTTACCGACGACTCTGCCGTAGCGACATAATACAACTTTCAAACGGCTCTCGAAACAGTCGAATGCCATGTCGACAACGGCATTAGCCGAGCTGCTCTCTCTTTCAGTTTATAGCCGGCGATTTCCATAAAGTACACCCACAGTCAGCTGACTGACCCGACGTAGCACACCCTGTGTAAATAACCCAGTATATACGGGCGCACACAAATGTAACACCGTGACCGTCGCCATCTTAACCTTACCTGAATAAATTAATAACATTATCGATTCGTCGCTTTCTGGTTCAGCCATTGTTACGTCGATATGAGTCCCATATCGATCAGGACGCGGCGCGACGACCACCGCACTTTAATATTAACCTATACCTGGTAAGGTCAGTGTAGAAGTACTTCGGAATGGCGTAAATTTGTTTTTATAAAAAATATTGAGTGTTTATAAATGTCAAATGACGATTGAAAACAACTTGACTAATCACAAACCTTTGCCTGTATAGAACTCCATTGCGGTCAGTTAACCTTTGACCTCGATATTGACACTGGCACTTGGACTACCATTAATTTAAATTGATTTCAAGCGTTTTAGACAAATTTGATTGAATCTATCTTTTGCGTTCATAGCATTAAATCTGCCAGTGTTTGAAGAAACCCCCAAAGCCGCATCTGTAATTGGCGTTAGCAAATGGTTTCAAGTACAGCCAATGGAATTCTTTTGATTTGAGCTAGTACCTTCAATGATTTGAGTGAGGTGAAGATTATAGGGATAAATGGTTTATAAATATTGTTATATATTCATAAAACAAATTCACACCTTCATGAAACTCGGTGTAAGGGTTAATAAAACAATACAACATGCATAAATCAGCCCCAAAGTCAAATTTGTTTCTGATCTGGTACCAAATTTGGGGACTAATGATATATGGTATTCCCGGGGCGGAGCCACATCACAAGACATTCTACGTAGCTAAGACGTGCACCACTGTACCGTGTATTTCTATTGGCTCTGTGCGAGCTGCTGCGAGACGCCGGTCGAAGAGCCGGTGAAAATAGCTAAAGTCGAGAAAACAGCACAAACTCAATTTTGAAGTAATGCTCTGAACAACCAAATTTATATATGTTGCACATGCAGGGGTAATCTTTCTGCAATATTCAGGGGAGTCTGAACAACTATTCCAAAGTACCGTTTTATGATAGTTTTCGGCCTTTGTTTTATCGTGATGATTGCCAGGCGGTGAAAATGCCCGGGTGACCGCTCAGGTTTTTATGTTCTCAGAAGTGACCACGTTAAATCAGTAGCTTAATCATTTGAACAGAACAGAGTTCGCCTGTTATCGTCAATCGTAATACTATAGTATTATTGATTATGCGCATTAACTTATTCACATCATGTGGTAAAGTATGCTACTCTCAGCGCAACAAACTTGAACACTCCCTTCATCTTTATGAATATTTATAAATAAAAGTGGCAGTTGAACCGAACTAGCCACCCAGTGGGTGCACAGAGTGTCCTTCCATGTACACATGGAAACATTTGTCATTACTCCCGTATTGTTTGAATTTTGATGCCAAAAAACATGGTTTCACAAAAATCAAATACGTTTTTCACAGCAGTTTTGAAAACTATGAACAAATCAAAAACAGTGTATTTCAATGTGGTATGCAAAATTAATAAAATTAATATACCTTCACAAGGAATATTGCAATTTGCATTCTAATTGACACCTGTGTGCCAAGCACACTATAATGGTCTTTTCAGTTAGCTTATATTATTAGTTCCACTGATGTCTAAAAAAACACTCATTGGATTTTGATAAAATTCGATACTCGGTATGCTCTGGGACAATGCGCAGATTTGATTAGGTTTGGGGTTAAATCCGTGAATATCAATTACCTAATTTGCATGATAATTGCCTAATTTTAGCTGTTCCATGACTGTTCCACTGATATCACGCATTGGATTTTAATGAAATTTGGTACATAGATGCTGGGACAATGCGCAGACCTGATTAGTTTGAGATAAAAAATCATGCATATGAATTACCTATTCTGCATAATTATTAGTAAATTTTCGGTTTTTGCAATGATATCTCAAGTACTAATCATCACATTACAAAGAAACTTGGTACATAGATACTCTAGATGCACAGACCTAAATAGTTTTGGGTAATAATAAGTGCATATTAATCACCTAATTTGCATAATCACTAGTAAATTTTTTTTTACAGTGATATCTCTAATCATTACATTTTAAAGAAACTTGTTACATGGACCTTCTAGGACAACGCACAGACCTGTTTAGATTTAAATCTGTGCATATTAATTACCTAACTTGCATAATAGTTCCTAATTTTTCGGTTTTTCAATCGATATCTCAAGTTCTAATCACATTTCAATGAAACTTGAAACATAGATGCTCTGTGACATTGCGCAGACCTTATTAGTTTTATATTAAATCTGGGTGTATAAATTACCTAATTTGCATAATAATTAGTCAGCTTTCCATCAATATCTCAGGTACTAATATTCATAATTCAATGAAACTTAAAGCGGGGGAGTCGT